ATTCAAAATCCATTAATTCCACTTGGCGATTTAAGCTCCTCATTTGCTACTTAAAATTTTAATTTGATTTTTTCGCAACCAAATGTTGGTCCTCGTAAATTCCAGACTAATGGTTTTGCTTAGCTGGAAATTTATTTCCAGTCAACACCACTCTACATGCAGTATCCTTGTTTCCCTCGACGTAACAGTCGTCGGTAATTACGCGGACCGATTGCTTAATTATCCAATTAGCTTGAAACACACGATCACAATCGTCTGTCGATTGGCTAGTGACCGTTTTGAGGTTATTCCACCTTTTTCCACGTTTTTCCTCGCTATTTTCCTGCCTATTAGCGTCGCGTTAATTGGTCGACCAACGTGGAATATCCGTTACAATCTCGTATATGCAAACAGACGCCAGCGTGAGCCGCAAAGTATACAGTTGTCGACCCGGAAAGATCGATCGTTCTTTGTGGCGAATTCCAGCGAATCTCCCTGGTAATTTATCAATCGAGCCTTGGAATCTGCTTCCTATCATTTTTTTTTTTTTTCATCTTCAGTAAATTACTTACCGAGTACCATCTACTCTATATGTATGTTCTTATTGAATAGACTTCTTTCAGTTACTTGGCCTCATCTAATTCATCGGTGGTTCGGTTTAAGAAGGGATAGGTAGAAGCGTTATTAAAAGCTAGAGAACCGCGGATTATTATTATTATTATACACAACGGGTCGATCGTTAAAACGTACCTACTCTCAACCCACTTTCACGTTAATTAAATGAAACGCGCGGCGGTCGGTGCAACGCGGAGGTAGGAGGGTAAAGACACGCGTCTGCAAACGAACGAACGTCGAATCCGAGCGGAAAATGTGAAAAGTTCCAGAACGAATGATCTCCTTTCTCCGGAGAACTTGGTTGTTTGCCTCGTTTAACGTTCGTCACGCGTGCGTTTTTCCGAATTTTCTAAATTGTTCGAACGACGTAATGAAGACGTACGTCAGCTAATTGCAAGGAACATTTTTAAATGGATTCGTTGTTTGGAAAATAGCGTGGAAGATCGACGCGTCATGGATAATAGATAAATAAATCTATTTACGGCGCTATCTTCGCTGACGATGCGCGCTAGAAATTTCGCGCGAAGATGTAATCAAGTCCGTTTTCAGGCTGGCGACGAACAAACGCGCATTTCTCGCCACTTGTCGCGTCCTAATGAAAATTCGTTCGGCCGCTTATTCGGTCGCGTTTCTCCGTGGACGCGGCCACCCTAACGAGTCACTATTTTCTCCGGTTCGAAAGTCGAACTCTCGACGGGCCTGAGCGTGCGGAAATTTCGCATTCATATATTCAATTTCGACGGAACGGTCTGCGGGGACCGGCAGCTCGTTCCGCGGATCCAGAGAGGATCTTGGAACGAATGGAGACGCAATTCGATTCGACGAACTGGATTATTAAATTATGTCTTATTAATTTAAGGATTATCACAGTTTGATAATAATACGATTGATATCTACTTTGATAAGTATCAATCAATGACGAGCTGGGGACTGAAAGTTCATACTTCGATCGTGGACATTGTAAATTTCGTAGGAGAGCCATGCTTATCCTCGTAGATTGCTTTTGAAATAGGAGAGAAAGTTTCATCCGTTTGCTCCATTATCTTGATGAAACTTTATTGAATACTCCTCTCGATTCGTGAGATAACCACTTTTCATTGGAACGATGCTTCTTATCCGATGCTTCTTTGTACGGAACATCGTGTGTCCGCAAAGCGTTTGTACCCTTTAATCCGACAATAGATAAGAACTATGGAATATATTTTTTAATTTTGTTGATGGAAAAAGATTTTTCAATTTGATAGCACACTTTATACCTTTTCCTATTTGCACACTAATTGCAAGTTTTTTATGTAAACACATGAAAGGAAAGTAAGAATGCGTTAAAGGATAGTCATTAATTATCCTATTCAACTCGCACAACAAAAACGAACCGCATTGCGCTAATTGCTCCGGTTAAAGAGCGGTACGTTTGAAAATTGACTGCTCGATAAATCGACAGGTTTAAAACGGTTCCGGTATATTCACTTGCCGCGGTTATTCTGCCGACCCCGTGACGGAAAAAGTAGAAGGAAAGAGTAGAGGCGCGAAATCGTAGCTCGTTATCGGCGGAGTCAAACAAACGGGTCACCGTTATTATAACTCACACCGGTGTACGCGCATCTGGTCCGAGCATGCGCCTATCTCGTTGCACCTGCAAGCACGTTCGAGTGTGCTCGTCAAAAGTGCGCCCCTATCGATTTCGGATATATATATGTGTGTGTGTATCAAGTGAAATCCGACCGCGAACATCGTCTGCCCTACATTTTTCCCTTTCCCGCGAAAAACGAACAATCCTTAACGCGTGACAGCGCGCGAACAAGGAAGGTGTTATCTTGAAACACAGCATCGTAGAAAATCTTTCGATGGGTGACTGTTGAGATACGCGGTAACTTTAATTTAATTTTGGACTTTCCATTTTTTTCTTCTTTTCCTTCTATTTATTATTTAATATCTTTCGTCGATCGATGGTTAAAAGAATGTTTATCTAACATATCAAGGAATTCCATATCCAGATTATAGTGGAAACTTTTCATTAGGTGCTCGAACAAGACGTGTAGCTTTTTTTGAGCGGATTTTTTTGGCCGTAAGCGTGTAACATCGTCGATCGGAAAAATCGATCATCCGGCTTCCTTGCGAACGGTCCGTTGGATACTGGGACACGATCGGTCCGCGTTGCTCGACGAAGCGTAGGAACCCGTTTCGCTCGAATCAATCACCCGACGGAACATCGATACGCGGGTAATCGCTGGATTAAAGGATAACCAAGGATAATTACTCGCTGCTCGATCCGGATGCAATCAATTCTCGATGCGTTATAGTTCGCGCTACCGCATCCGCTCTCTCCGCCTTCCTGTCTCTGCAATCCCACATCCGTCTTCTCTTCCTACTCGTTCATTTGTTTTTTTCTCTGTGTGTGTTTTTATTTTTAATCTATTACGTACCTACTTGTTCTTCAACTAACTAACCCAAGTCTACGTCTCATGATTTATTTTTAAATCAAACAGCAAAGCCTAATTTTCTCGAAATACCCACGTACAATTTAGATCCTAACTTTGCTCGAATGCTGACCAAGATTCCTAACCGGAGGAACCGCGTATAATTTGTTTTATCATCAAACAAACGGTCGGTTTAATCGTTGTGCAGACACGACGGAAAAATCGTGTAGCTGGTATTTTTTCAACGGCCGCGTCTACCAGAATTTACAGCTGCTAAAACGACGCATATTTATTGTTCTGGTTAGAATAATGCTGACCACGGTTTCGTTGCTGTTAACGCGCCTCAACTCCTCTTCCATTCATCAACTTCCATGAGTTACGGAAAAACCAGACTTAACAAAAATACGTATACACCCTATTCTCTGTCCTGAAAAATGTCCTGAAGCCTTTTCGATTTTACGCGTTGAAAAATTTTATAATGAAAGGGTTAAAAATTTAGATTTCTCCTAATTTTTGGGTAGATTTGTAATTTTAATATATTACAAAATAATTGATGGGAATATTCGCGATGTAACCAAGAAGTAACAAGAAGTTGAGAAATTTTAAAAGGGAAAGGGTTAAAAATTTAGATTTCTCCTAATTTTTGGGTAGATTTGTAATTTTAATATTTTACAAAATAATTAATGGGAATATTCGCGATGTAACCAAGAAGTAACAAGAAGTTGAGAAATTTTAAAAGGGAAAGGGTTAAAAATTTAGATTTCTCCTACTTTTTGGGTAGATTTGTAATTTTAATATTTTACAAAATAATTGATGGGAATATTCGCGATGTAACCAAGAAGTAACAAGAAGTTGACAAATTTTAAAAGGGAAAGGGTTAAAAATTTAGATTTCTCCTAATTTTTGGGTAGATTTGTAATTTTAATATTTTACAAAATAATTAATGGGAAAATTCACGATGTAACCAAGAAGTAACGAGAAGTTGTAAATTTTTATAATGAAAGGGTTAAAAATTGTTAAACTTCTCCTATTTTTTAGGTAGATCAGCAATTTCAATATTTTACAAGAAAATTAACCGGAAGATTCGCGATGTAACCAAGAAGTAACGAGAAGTCGTAAATTTTTCTGGCCCAGAGCGGAAAGTTTGGCTCGAAACCGATCAAGAGGAGTAATATCGCGTCGTATCTCGACGGTAGACTTATCACGGCCAAAACTTTAATTTAATTTCGGCCCGGGGTCCTCTCATTTCCGGTCCTCCTCACCGTATCTCAACGTATTATTTCTCGAGCCGCCGGATTTCGAACTTTAATCCAAGGAAAACGGCGCAACTTCTCGCCGGATCTTCCGAAATACTCGCTCTTCTACAAGCAGCAGGTATAAATCGTTTGACAACCTCTGACTATCAGCGGAAATTCAATTGCCTCCTAGCCGCTTCCCTTTAAACCGCTTGTTTTCCACGCTTTAATTAGATGCTACTTTCGTCTGTCTCTCTGTATCTTTGAAATTACGAGTTAAAACTGGCCCGACTGTCGGTCGGGCTATTTGTGCTTGAAAAACGATTCGATGAAAGTGAAAGAACACTCTCGTTTTTGAAAAATTATACACAAGATTATTACCAACGTCATATGTTTCGCGTTCATCTTTCCCCTTGTCTTTAGATATTGCGAACTTAACCCTTTGACTGCTATGGACGCACATATGCGTCCATAGTTTGTTTCTTGTGTATCTTCATCAAAATCAAATAAAAGTTATCAATATGTTATCAGATTATAATGATGTGATAAAACAATGAAAAAATAAATTGAAAAATGAAATGAAATAAAAAAGAAAAATGATAAGTGTTATTGACTTAATTCTTATTTCGTACCTACACACACAAAACGTTTAAGCCAGGAGTACTCAGCAGTCAAAGGGTTAAGTTCAGAGTGTAAATAATAATGTTATAAAATAGAATAATGTTATGTAATAGAATAAGTATTCAGTACTCACGATCGTGCTCGTCCGTCTGGTTCCTCTTATGATGGGACTTGTGATGATGTCCACCGAGAACAGGAATCTGCTTCATCGCCAGTAGATCTTGATGATCGGCGTCGATTAATGGATTCTCCAGCTGCGATTCGATCAGCTCGAAGCTGGTCGAATTGTCCGGATGAGAGATGACCTTCACTGTAAACGAGCAAGCGTAACGGAGCATGGAGGGAAACGTACGCGCTCGTCTGATGGTCAATTTTAGCCACGATTCCCGCACTCCTACAGGATTTCTATCTAACCAGCGCGACGCGACGTCTCTTCGAGAAAGGAGCTGATTTTTTAAAAACATCGCGACAGAACGTAGTCTCTCGAGTTTCGAAATAATAAATTACGTTGCGTTCGTTTGTCGGTGAGAACGTTGATCATTTGGAATTTCATCGAACGAGCCGATACGAAGATTCCTCGCTCGATACCAGCTGCACTCTACGAACACTCAAGTATCGCTTGGTATCGGTGTAGTTCATTTGAAAACAGCAAGTCGTCGATCGGAAAGTTGATACAAAGACTGCTATTAATAAACTATCAGTAAGCAATATTAGTGTATCACAGAAAAGGGGGACGAGATCAATCGACTTGCTGTTTTAGCGTCGAAGTGAACGAAGTCGATGAATCCTAGATCCGAGAAGAGCTGCGATCGACGGGTGTGTGTCTGATCACACGACCGACATCGGTGTACGAACCTTGGTCGACGAACCCTTCGAAGGCCTGTCGGAGATCGAAGAGCCGGTCGACTGGAAGCGCGCCGATCCTGAACTCGAGATCGTCGAGGTCGTCGTCGGCGCGATCGATGATCGCCCGGTGTTCGTAGGTTGGCCTCGGTGCGAATTTCTTCGGCTGCACAAAGTCAGGCCTGTCGATTCGTTTGGTCTCGTCCACGGTAGGCGTTGGACGAGCCGATGGCGGATAACTCGACCACGACGACGACGACGATGACAACGACCAAGACGAAGAAGACGAGGACGACGACGTCGCGGCGGACGGTGGTGCAGGTGGTGCAGGGTGGTGCTGGTGATGGTGATGATGGTGCAGGTGCGCATCATGCTCGCTTTGGGAGTGCCTTGGCTGCAGGTGCACTGTGCTGGTGGCACGATCATGCTTGGATAATGTGGACGAAGAAGAAGAAGAAGAAGAAGAAGAAGAGGAGGAGAAAGAAGAAGAAGAAGAAGAAGAAGAAGAAGAAGAAGATGAAGAGGAAGAAGAAGAGCCGCGATCATAGAAGCTTCCAGGTCCTTCCATTGATCGATCATCCGTATCTTTCTCCCTGTACACAGAACGTTGCTCGTCGTCGGTACCAGCACGAGCCTCTTGCCGGTCTTCAGGATCGGCACGAGGATCGTACGCCTCGACCACGAGCACGCCTGGCCTGCCAGGTAATTCCGGTGCTTCCTGATGACGACCATGCTGATGACGATGGCCGTGCTGATGCCTCTGTCCCGGATCCTGGACGTCGTACGTGCTCTCGTGGTCGTAGTACGAGGTGCGCGCGGTCCCGGGGAACAGAAAATAGGGGTACATACTGGTGGCCGGTAACCAGATCTCCTGGTAGCTCTCCTGCTGCGGGTCGAACGGATACAGGGCCGAGTCCGTGCCCGACAGGTCAACGGAGGTAGAGGAGGGCAGGAACTCTGTAACAGAGAAGCAGAGACGCGGACGAGAACGGGGTGAGTGGGGTGCGTGATCGTTGTTGGTACACGTGCACGGAGACAGGGTTCGCGTGGTACGTGCTACTCTCGTGGTTGTGATTTTTGGATGGTAATGGTGATGGTGACGATGGTTTGTGAATGGTGGTTGCGACAATGTTGCTGCTGTTGCTGTTGCTGGTGAAAGTGGCGAGTGAAGCAGTTTTACGAAACACCGAATCACGTCTAAAAACGACGCTCTCTGAGTTTCAACTATGTTCGTTGAACAAATTAGCTGCATAAAGAGAGACTATTCTCTTTGGAAGTTTGCAACTCGTGTTGTAACACATAGAAATTTGTTCACGAGAGTTGGATAAGTGGTAACGAATCGATGATCAAGGTGTACCAAGTGAATTTTCATATTTCGGCTTACAATTCTTTGGTAATTTGGTAAATAATTCAAGATCATTGTAAAAGCGGTAGGTATCTTTCCAAAAAGAAAATCAGCTTCCTCGCGTTAATCCGCAAATTACTCCAGCGTTAAGCTCTTCTGGGAACTATTATCGTGGCCCAGCTGCTCGAGAAGCCAATCAAAGCTCGTGGCCGGTTAAAAAAGACGAGACTTCCCTCTGGAGGATCGTCTCTCTCGCGAAGAAAGCGTTTGCTTAGACATTTGGCGCTCCACAGAGCCTCGAAAGAACTCGAGGGAATGCGAAAAGAAGTCTTGGAGCCGCGCAGGTCGCGCAAACCGAGCTCAACCGTCGATTCCGATTACGACTTGGTTCGTTTAACCCCGGCTCTCTGACTTCTCCCCTATCCTTTTCCCTTGAATTTTCGCCATGGTGGTCCCCGCTCCGAGTCCACAGACCCGTAAAAATAAAATATCAGCTTCGTTCTAACGCGATTACATTGGGTTGCATCGGTAACTCGAAAAACTACACCCCTATAACTGATTCTCTTTTCACGTCAGCTGCTTGATAATAAACTTGTTTGAAAACATTGATCGGTGAAAGTTTAAAGGGCGGATAATGTCATGGAAAACCGTTGCTGCCCTTGACATTTGAAAAAATGCCATTGAAATGTTACACGCTATAATCGGAAAATTGTGTTTTGCGGAAAATGTGCACAGCTCGAAAATTTCGATTCTCATAACTATTCGTTGGAGTAATTTTCTCGGAGCAAATTTGTTAAACGAACGAAAGAATTTTATGAAAATTTATGGAAATGATTCGTTTAGAAGTTGTTAGGTCGAAAGAGGACCAGGGGAAGAAAGGGACGAGTGAGAGAGAGTAGAAAGTTTTAGTAGACGAATTAATCGACACATGCACATTTCAGATAGAAGTAAGTAGAAAAAGACATAGGCATGCAGGCTGAGAACGTGCACGGCCTACGTGGCCTAAAAAGAGAGTATTGTCATGCAAAAGTACAGAGCATGCGGTGCGCAATCTTCTTGCATTCTCGCCCGAAGGTTTTCGAATGTTTCTTTTCTTCGTAAACGAGTAAACTCGGCGGTCGATTAGTTACCCTGACCAACGGGGTAACTCGACGCGAAACAAAGAGAAAAAAAACTCGGTCGCCGAAGGAACGGCAATAATAATCGTAACGACACGCCGCGCCGGGCCGCGCTTGGCCGCGTCGCGATAGAGGTATGAAAGAAGAGAAGGTATGCTAATTTTTATCGGCCTCTTTGCGCCTCGCGTGTTCCTCTCGATAGATTCAGGCGTTCGCGAGGGAAAGCTTTCGTGTTGACCCAGTTCGATCAGAAACGATCAGAGTGAACGCAAACCGAACCGAGTGAAAAGAACGCCTTCAGATTGAATCTTGCAAATATACAGGACGTCTCAAAGAAAATGCACGTTTCTATACTTTCTATAACGTTCCTGTTTATCGACGGTTACGTGAAATCCGAACGTTTCATGCTAATTCGATATTATTGGATTGTTACCTATCAAAGGATCGATTGCTTTTTTCTTTCTTTCGTTCGAAACATCCTGTAAACAGTAAATCGAAAAGCTTGATTGTTCTCTAAAATTAAGAGTAAGAATGTGAAAACGCAAATCCTTCGAGCGGAATGCGTACTTAGGGGGTGCTGGTGCTCTCGTGCAGACGTTCCTTGATGTTCGAAGATTTCGAGATCGGTCCCAGGCCTCTTTCGAATTATCTCTAGCTGCTTCGTTGACTCGGCTGGGATCTTATTTAGGCAACGCGTCCAGGATCATCGTTTCCGTTCCTCTTGCTGTTCGCCTCGACCAAAGGCACAAATTGCTTTCGCAAACGATTGTACGAGGTCGGTTCCGAGAACGGTCTACGAATCGAACGTGTCGCAGCTTCGGTTTCGAATCGCTAGAAAGCTTCCTTAACGCAAGACATTCGTTACTTTTTGATCGTTCGAATTGTTTTCTAAATGCTGATCGAAATGCGCGATGATGATACCTGGGAATGATCGATCGACGCGTAAACGATCCTGAGAACACGCTTACCCTCCATTTTTTCTTTTCTTTTTTTTTCTTTTTACGCGTATGGTACTTATGAAATGCAATATGAATCTGTTCGAGCGACGGCACGCAAGCTGAAATGTAGAAAGTCAAAGTCGATGTCGATGACGGATCTGTTACGATTACTCGTATTTAGCCAGCAACGATAAATCAGTTTACTCGGCCAAACGTACATCGAAAAGAAAGAAAACAAACGCTTGCATGTCGCACATGCGTCTCGTGTGGTGTACTTACGTAACGGCGCGAAATGCCTTCGTAAATGTAAACCTTTTCAATTTTTACGGCATACAAACTCTGTCGATCTTGAACGAACAAATGATAATGGACTATGTAACGAAAGGGTTCATTTGACTGATAAAGGTAGATAGGAAAAACGGTGAAAATATTGGTGGTTTGTCGTAGGTCGTAAATAAACCCATCCATGGTTACCTAACTGTGGTTATCGCTTCCGGTGCCGTTATTTTTTCCCCGGTATCGATGTCGAAGGAAAGGTACGAGCTCGACGGAGCAATTACTTTCAGCGATACCGCGGTGTTTAAAGCTGCTGGGACGACGTTATAGCCTCCTTTGGATAAGCTCCTTTCTCCTTAATTAACCAAAGGCCAACGGTATCGAGATGTAGATAAGGATTTCATCGCGTGGCAGGCTCGACCTTAATTTCACTGAAATCTCGTTCCCTTCGACCAACATCCCTTCCATACGTTCCGCTTCCTTCGAGCCTAATGATACTCGACCAAACTACTTTCAGAGCCTCCTTTCATCGTCTCGTCCGTGGAAACACATCTCCCTTTATCTCTGATCGTGATCGCGATCATGAGCGTGATCGAGATGGTGATCGATTCTAGGAGATTGAAGATTCTTGATAATGTGCATCCAAGATCGACAGGTTTGTTTCGTAAGAGCTCACGCACATTGACCAAAATCATTTAAAATATATATATATATAATATAAAAACTAAAAAGTTACTCGCTGGCAAAGATACAAACAAATAATTACACAAAGGTCGGGCGCAATCGAGCCTCGTAACGAAACGGACGAAAAATAAAAGAAAATAGATACTCTGTAGAATTCATATCCAAAAAATACACACACGTTACTTCACAACACCAACAATCTTCTTCCAACAGGGTGCGCTAATTGATACGGTTAATCAACGTACGATATACTCAATTCATTCAAGATCACAAAATGAGGTGTGTATGTGTGTACGTGTGTTTTGGCTTGCGAGAACAACTCGCACAACGACATTAAATAATAAAATGTTCAAAAGCGTTTTGAGAGAAACAAAACGTTCTCGTGTGTACGCGATGTATGCCTGTATTATATATGTAATAATACCACGTGTACGTACGTATACATAGAGATAGATATAGAGAAAAAAAAGAAGACGCTTACGATTTGATGGATTTTCATACTCACCAACGCACGGATTGTGATTCACCGTGGAGAAGATCTTGTCGCAACGTCTCTTCATGCGAGCGTTTGGACATGTACAACCGAACATTGGCGACAGTCGTAGTTGGGTCCAGGAATCGTGGCAAGCACTCCTGAAACAATTAATAGTAACAATGTTATTGAAGAAAGTAAGAATTGTAGGTGTTTAGTGGAAAGGGAGGGCGGTGTGTGTCCTCGAACGCTCTTAGTTTGGGTCGGAGACCGCCAGGTGGCGGTGGCATTGTGGTCTGTTCTCGCTAGCGGTCGCCCGGCATGGGATCCAAATATATAATACCATAGGAGTTCGGAAAAGCGGTGTTATAGGTGTCTGGGGCAGGGATCATCTGTCGTCAGCCCCACTGACGAGTCTGACAGACTATCCCGAAATGCCCCCCGTAAAGAAGGACTTGTAAATAATAAAGTCACGAACTTACATATGAACCATTTATTTTAAAAGTGGGGGAAGTCCTCTTTTGAAAAAAATGAAGATAATAATAACAATAGATAGAACTTCATATGATATTTTTATCCGTAAACAATCTGTAATAAAAGTAATTCTAACTCCCGAATTTTTGAATGATGGAAGTTTAGGTGATTAACGATATTAGAAAGATTGTTTAGTTTGAAAATGGAGCAAGTACATCACACGCTGAAATTATTTTTAGCCGAATATATTACAGTAAAATTCAGCAATAATGTGAAAAACGATAAATTGTTTAATATTCGGGTATTCTCCATTGAATTCAAATAGCGTACATACATGTAGGGGTAGAATAATTATACACTGCATTCATACTATATAGGGAAACCAAGTAATTTTGGAAATATAAAATTACCTTCTTTATATGAGAGAACTAGGTTAATTACATCAGTCAATATGAAGACATGATGGATTTATTACTATATGTACCGCCCGGTTCTCATGAATATTTTAAAATGTTAAATCTTAAATAAAACTTACAATATACGTATAAAATAATACAAATTATTCAAAAAAAGGTATAATTACATTGGAATTCTGAATAGAAATAAATTGTTTTATATTATTATATTAACATAATTTAATATTAAAATAACTGTTTTCTTTGTTTTACTTTTCATCAAATGAATGAATATTCATATAAAATTACACGATATATTGTTTTCATTATTGAAACAAGACTGATCCAACTGAAATGTGATCTATTTAATTAACGAATATAATAATTCATTAATTTTGAAAGTGAAGCAAGTCCATTTCGATATTATAAAATTTTCATTTTTTTAGCCAATATTGATGAACATTATTAGATAATAAACTTACATTATCTAACACCAAAAAATCCAAAAGTGGACTTGCCCCATTTTCAAAATAAACGGCTCGTATATCTGATACAGTAATCCAAATCGTGATAATCTGAAAACGATCATTAGAAAAATTGTATAGATCAAAGGGGTGCAGTAGAGAACAGTCCTGCTCCTTGATACGGTTTCCAGTTCAGTCTGTACTTTAGAAAAAATCCAGCGATCTAATTGCGCAGCAAGAAAGGAGGAGAGCATGAGAAAAGGTCGAGGAGAAGAGCATGAAAGAGAGGGTGGGAATTCGGTGAGGACGAAAGCTACGTTCCTAGGAATTATTTGGGTTAATGGCACACACGGTACCGTGGCTCTAGCTCTCCACGAATTAGAGGGCAAACGAGGCAAAAGGAAATACGAAACCAAAGATGAAATAAAAGCGACAACTTCCAAGATGAACGAAAAGAGGGGCTGCGATGGTGGATGATAAATCAAGTTTTTCCTGCAATTCTGTTTCTCCTCTTTTCTCGAGAGAGGCAATATTTATTTAGTTGCGATCAATTTTTTATTTATTCCTCTTTCGATTTCACCATTCTCGAACATTTCATCTGAAAATGGAAGTGGAAGAAGCCTTCCAACTGGAATACATCATTATCGAGTAACAAACTTGTTCCGAATTTTATACGCATTCCTAGGAACTTGGTAATTTTAAATATCGGCGTACCTATCCATTACCAGAGATTCTTGATTCTGCGAATCAATTACGACGACTCCTCGAAACCCTCTTTCTTCTGAAACGCTTTTAAATAATTTCAGAATTTCGTGCTTTAACAAAAATAGTGTTCATTTGTTCGTATAATACAACCAAACAGTGATCATGTTAGTTTCTTGGAAAGACGGATGATCAGCGGTTTCCCGCGAAATCTATCGCGAAGCTGGCTTAAAGCACCTTTCCAGCCGATGTCCAATGAAATTATGGTTTCGTCTGCTGGCGACGACGATTTTCGCTAGTAGTGTGTCACTGACAGCTATCCGGAATGCAGTCTGTTCAAGGAACAAGCGTCGTGTGGTCTGGCCGCACATCGAAAGCAGAAGCAACACACACATATTCTCTTCGCGTTTATACCGAGTTCCGGCATGGCAGCTTTAAGCCGCATCCGGTGTATTTATAGCGGGGGTCCACGGTCGCTCCCGTTGCTCTTCTATTTGTTGTTCCGATCTTCCCGCGGGATTCATCGATAAGGTAATCACGCTATCGGTAGACCTAATCCTGATTAATACTTATAACGTAGAATCTAATTGATTATCAATCTGAGGGAAGGGAAAAAATCTAAAAATCTTCCAAATTTATTGAAATTAAAAAAATTTTTTTTAAATATTCCTACATTTCAAATTTAAAAATTTTTCAATTTAGAAATCATAAATTTAATCAAGGAAGTAGGTGCCATTTCCTCTAAAGTCTAAAGAAATTACTTACGGGTAATTTGAGTACATAAAAAAGAATCCAATTAAAAATTAAGTACTGTTTCAATTGTGCTATAAATTTATAGCTAACTTATAAATCTATACGTTTCTTATTGTTTAACAAATACAATTTTTAATATTGGAGCTACCTCTTCTTTGTGGCGAAAATAGAAACAGAATAGTAAGTATCCCCTAAAGAAATTTAAAAAGGAGTTATAATTTATTATAATCATTACTATGATGGTTAATGGTAATTTTAATGGTTTTAATGGATTAATGGTTAATTAAAAATGATAATATATGATAATAATTCACCCTCTGTACCGTCAGGATCGGCTGATGTGAAGTTTTCCGATTTCTTATATCTCATTTTCTGCAACGTATTTTTTTGCAAGTCCTAACACGTCGTTATATTTTGCAACTTTTAATGATCAGGAGTTTTTGTCTGTTGGATGAAGATTATTCATTGTTATCAATTCCTTTTTACACCAAGTAAAATATCACATTTTTCTAAATCAAATTGAATATAAAAAATGTGCAAAACATGTAGCTGCCTCCTTCTTGGCGCAGAGCCTTCAATTATTTTCTTCTTTTCTTTTCTTTTCTTTAACAGAACAATGACAGATACTGTATTATCATATAATTGTAATATTCCTATTATCATGAATCTAAGATTTGTCAATGCCATCTTACAGTTAATCCAGTGCATTAAGCCGAACCGTTCTGTTATATTGCCTCTCAAAACCTACGTAACTCTTTGTTGAATCCTGAGAAAGAATGGATGAATAATTCAACAGCGAGCAAGAAAACGTCGTTCCAGAGTTAATCAATGTCGGATAAGAAGCGATTCTGTTTAATTCAAATCAACGGTACATGGTAGGTATGGTTATTAGAGCAATCAAAGCAGCATCAGCGGAGAAAGTGACGAGTTTCTTCTCGCGTATGGTAATCAACGTTAGAGAAAGTCTCGTTCTCAATGCACGGAATTTAATCTCGCCACCGAGCCACAGAGAGAAGACACACGAGCCTGGCTAACGTTCAAATTGGATCCGCACGAGTTTCGTTTCGACAGGAAACGAAGTTCAGGAATGGCCTGACACCCATTTGCCAATTTGCTAGTATAATTTACATCGTGCCGAGAGTAGAACTACGATTTATAAACAAACAACCGTGTTATTTTCTATGATTTTATCTTGGAATAAATGAGCTGTTTATTTTGAGGGTGGGGCAAGTCCATGTTTGAAAAAATTTTGGGGATTAACGGTATTGCAAAGATGTTTATTTTGAAAATGGTGCAAGTCTGGAAAATCAATTTCTTTTATATCTGCCAGGATTGCTATAAGTAGTACAAAATTGTCGAAAACATAATCAATTTTTAATACATGACATGATATTCATGTCAGGAAACGAGGAAATATTTTTTCTACCCAACCTCTGGAAAAGGCGGTTTTAAAATAAAAAGAAAAATAAACACCGATTGATAAACTGTAAATTGGTTAAATATATGCTGGATCAGATTTTTAAAGACAGAGTCATATAAAATGTTACACAAAATGTCGATGGAACGAGATACGGAATTTCAATTTCCCGATTATCGCCACAAGGAGAAACAGCAAGTAATTTCGGAAATATAAAATTACCTTCTTTATATGAAAAAATTATAACAATTACATTAGACGAATATGGATTCATTACTATAGATACCCTTCGTTCATTATGAATATTTTAAAACGATACACATAAAGTAATAAAAATTATTAACGCAAATGTATAATTTGATTGGAATTCTTAATAAAAATAAATTGTTTTTTGTTATGTTATATTTTCTACTGAAATATTTAAAAAACTGTTTTCTTTGTTTTACTTTTCACCAAATGAATAAATATTTATATAAAATTACACAATACTTGGTTCTATTATTAAAAGAACGCTGATTCAACTGAAATAAGATTCATTTAATTAACGATTACAATAATTCATTAACTTTGAAAGTGAAGCAAGTCCATTTATGTATAATAAAACCTTAATTTTTGTAGCCAGTACAGATAAAGATTACTGAATAATAAAAACGTTACCTAACACTATAAAATACAAAAAAGTTGTCTATTATTGCTTACCAATATTTTTTAATTTATTGAAATGCAAACCCTTAAACATTTTGTAACATAACAAAAAATGGAACCCAATTTCAAAATAAACGGCTCAAATGCTCAAAAGGGAATATCTCATTAATTATAATAATACTAATCACCTCTACATAAAAAAAAATCATGCAAATGTTGTTGATGAATAAAGCGGTTAGGAAAATAATTCCTGGAGGTTTCCGAACACCCTAGGTAGAGCAGTGGGTGCAGGAGGGTGCAGTAGGGTGCGT